TATTCCAGAATAATAATGGATTTGATTGATTATTTCTCTACCCGTATCCCAAATAGTAGAACTCAAGTTAAATCGTTTCAAAATAGAAACTTTGATCTGAAATTGGAATGAAAACAGCGATGGAACATAGCCTTAATCTATAATAAAAAAAAAAACTGTACGTGGAATTAATAAATACTAAACATTCCAAATACCTGAGGGTATTTATCAGCTATAATAAATTTAGTAAAGGAGATAAAGTGACTGAACATAGAACAGGCTGCGCTAGAGGTAGTTTTGTTTAATATAGTAAGGTCAATACTATTGCCATATATGGTCTGGTGCTCCTGCTATTCATCTATAGATTCTTGGCAAAATGCTAAGAAGGATTTGTAATATAATCGATCCTGACTTGGAATTTCGACTTCAGCCATTTTTCCATAGGCGTAACGTGACTTCCCCTTGTCTTTTCTATAAATGTTTTCATGGCAACTGCTCTGACGACCTTTTTTTCCCTGGTGCCCCGACTACGAGAATTTAAGCGTGCTACTAGAGTAGCATCTAGGTCCCAACTTTTTTCCGTTAAAATATTTTAATGTAACCGCCACTTCTACTTCAACAGTTTATTTTCTCGCAATTCCCGCCTGTGGAAATCCCATCCGTTTACTTGCTTCCTTGATAACTACAATCTTCAAAAATTTAAATACAACGTCAATCGTAATCTTCTGTATTCTTGAAAAACCATTCATCTCTTATCCTTTCCTCCATCCCCCTATACCGAGTATTTTCTATCACTTTCACTTTCTGTAACCCATCTGCGTGCTTGGGGCTGACACGAATAAAAAAGTTGCTACGAATTCAAAAATCATTAACCTAAGAATACAAGTCATGTACTCGTCAGATCCAGAATCTCAAATTGATGTCATGCATGGTGCCAAACCGGTTCAGAAATATCTAAACTGTGAACTGTATAAAATCATTTTCTCAAATCAATAATTAAAATAGCTTCCATCGAAAGAACTGTTGGTCTTTCTGGGGACCATCCTTCTTCGAACCTCGTGGACTGTCGCTAGAGAACCACAAACAAAGAACTACACCAAATCAAAGAAACCATATATCTTGCAGACTTTCAGCAGCAGCAACAGCTAAAAGGGATAGTACATGTAACTTGAAAAGAAAATAATGCCATAATCAAAATTTTGACATTCTACGCTACTTTAAACAAAAGTTTACAATGGAAGACCCCATCAATACTGGAAAGAGCGATAATATTAAATGTGAGAAACCTATTTTCCTGAAAAATTGTTTTAATAGAAAGTATTTATAGATTTAAACCATCAAATAATATTACCATTACCATTAGTTGTTTTTACTTAATATTGATATCTTCTAACATTTCTAATCTTGATTTAAAATTTGTTTTGTTGAGGATTATTGTTACCCGCAAGAAGCTTATTTATTGTAATTTTTAGCTTCGTTATTGCGTGTAGTTTTATAGCATTTGATATGAATTATGCAAAGTAAGTCAACAAGAAAGGTTTGTGGTTATATATCCTATATAAGATACTGTTTAAAAATTTATCAAAAAAAGAAAAAAGAAAAAGCGTATATTAATATTTTTCGGACTAAAAATTGGTGATTTAAATATATTCAACAGGTTTAATCAATACAATACTACAAGCGGCTTTCTCTTCATCATGCACGTGGACGATATGGCTTTCCACAGTTTCGTGTCTTTTGATGCTCTAAGTAACTTTTGACTTTTTAACAGGGCAATCAATGAATCAAAAGTACATATATCGTAAGCAACAGAAACTTCATCATCAAAAATTTTAAACATATTAGCTTCTAAACATCAAAGCCACGATAGAATCATCCACATATGAACAAACTAGCAGCATGGCCCGGCGTTGCCCGTGCTTGATTCGAAAATCGTACGACTCATACAGCAATCGCTATCACTTGATTTAAAATATTTTTGCCCTTCCTTGCCTTTAAAGGAGTGGCCTTCGCCGTGCTGATGTTGCTACATGCCTTACTTCTTGCCTGCGATTTTTTTCTAAGCTCTATACTAAACATTAAATATGTTACGAAAAAGGAACTAAACAAAATGAACACAAAACGATCAGCTTTAAAAAAGGACTCGTAACTGGAAGAACCGAATGAAAAAAAAGAATGTTAACAACAAATACTTTTTCACACCCAACCCAGTTATGCGGAATCAGAGACAACGTTGAGTTTAAGCAAGCGAATGAGTCAATTGGAGTAAAGTGCCATGCAGTTTCAAATTTTTCCCACTTGTGACGAATGCAGCTATCGATTTTTTTTTGCATGCTAGCATGCTAGTTAACATTCGTGTCAGTCAACTGTTGGCTCTCACGCTGGCCATTACAATCTTCCTGCCTATTCGTTGGCAGCCAGCTATTGGCTCTCACTCTGGCCAGTACAAAATGGCCGCAAACTACATGAAAACTGCCATAGAAGCATGAAAAAATCGATTATTTCCACTATCGATGGGAGTTGGGAAATGCAAAGTCGGTCTTGGCCTTCCCGCTAACTTGGAACATGTGAATGTAAATTTTGGTGCAAATCCGTCGAAAATTGCGGCCGTGCATTCGTTACACACACACACACACACACACACACACACACACACACACACACACACACACACACACACACACATCCTGCCTTTTATAGATAGATTTAATTTATGTATTAATATTAACCCTTTATCTTGTAATGATAATAAACATAAACGCAGTCGTAGTCTGACTGCAGTCAAGGTTATGGAGTCATTCAGAACTCCAGGATCTTGTCAATAGCTGCATAGTATGCGCTAGGCCTTTGATTGGGAGCTTTTGACGACCGTCGGACCACCTCTTAATTGCTGCTTTTCTGTTTCACCCTGACGCGGGGTGGTAGCACCCGTTAGGTTTCCAGCTATGGGCAAATAGTAAACACCCAAACTGGGGTTAAAACATTATAAAAATATAAAAAATACATTTTTGTAGTAAGTCTACCAGCAATACAGTTTCATAGAAAAAAACAAATTACTAGCAATAGAATATTAGAAAAAGAAGATAAAAAATCACCATCAATAGAGCTTTGAAAAAATAATTAGCAAAGCTCACATGAAAATTAAATTTCGGTATTAAATGACTAAATTAAATTAAGATGTTCATATGTCGTTAAACCAATCAAATCATTGTATGTGCTACGCCAGAGGTATATACAGTTTTAATTCAGAGTTGTCTTAGACTAGTTGATAAGCACTGCTAGATAGCCAGTCTTTACTGGTATTTAAATATGTAGGAAAATGTTCTAACAGAGGGCGGAAAGTGCGACACTGAGATCCGAAGACGTATGGGGATGGTAAAAGATACATTCTAAAGAAGAGTATTAAAAGACAGTTTGAAACAAAGAAAAGTGTTACGTGATATCTGTCCTTCTGCATGGCAGTGAATGCTGGAAAATCTCCTCAAAGATGAAAACGAGACTTGAAGCAACAGAAATGTGGTTCTACAGATAGATGCTGAGGGTACCATGGACCAAACGTGTGAGCAAACGACGGGTTTTTGGAGAGAATGGAAACAAAAAAGAAACTTATACTTAACATTAGGAAGAGACAGTTGAAATTTCTGGGACACGTAATGAAAAAGGAGGGTTTTTGAAAATCTGATATTCACAGGACAGATAGAGAGACAGAGGAAAGCAGGGGGTAAAATACTTGATGTGTTTGAGTTAATAGATGGCGGAACAAGGTTATAGAGAAATAACAAAAAGACAAATCTTAAGAGCTACAAGAGACAGAAAGATGTGGAGAGCCATGATCGCCTACGTCCTGAAGGAAAACGGCACATAAAAGAAGGAAAGAACCCATAGCTGGGAAAAGAAGAGATACACAATCTGTTAAGGGGTCCACCCCTTTTTATACAAGTGGACTCGCCCAGTGTGTACTTGTACTACTGCCGGTGAATACCCGGGAGTGAGACCAGTGAGAGAGTGAGAGTGTGAGGCAACCGCTTTGTAGGAGTCACAGTTGCGAGCACGTATACTCAGAAGGAAGTCCTACTTCAATACTGAATTTCCCAGACTGTATATATATATTATTATTGCTACTAACCGCATTTCTGGATCTACTAACCGTATTACCAATTGTATTATTACGTCAATACATTTATTTGCTATATTTCATTCCTGCGTTTGTCATTCATTTGAGACCGGATTTGATCCAAGAATACACAACACAATCAGACCTCACCCAAGGTTATTTGCGCGAAAGGGAATGTAATAAATTTGACTGGAATTCGAACTCGGTTCGCTGAATTCTTGATCCTACCTGCTAAACATTACACCACCTTCACAACTGTCTCAGAGTTGGAACATTATAATTATTAAGACTACTTGGTTTAAAGTGTCATCTATAACTAACCTGGTTGACCGATTTTTGACGAAAGAAAAATTATTTTACTGTTATTTATGTATGTATATGTGTGTGTGTGTGCGCTTGCTTGCATACTTTAAGGTATTACACTGATAATGTGACAAATAACACTAATTACAGAATACAGACATTGGAAATGTATGCTCATCATGGTATGACTCATACTATTATAGATATATCGGAAACCCCAGTCAAAATTTGTATTTACCGCTGGCGTCAACAACAAGCGCCGATTTCAAATACGTCCAACCGTATTTTGATGCTCGTGGAAATACAATCTTCCAACAATTTAATCTTTTTTCTGTATTTCGCGAAGCTTAGTAAACATCATCAAATAAAACTAATCAGAAGTGTAATTTTTGTCGAAAACTCAACAGACATTCCTCAATCGATTACTTATGTTCTGTCCGGAGCATCTTTGGTTATCCGAAATGGTCACTCGTTCTTGCTTCCCCCCCCCTCAATGCATGCACTTTATTCTTTATCGCATTTGTCTTTGGTAGAACCAAGCGGATTGTAGTCGGACAAGGATCCACTTAATTCCTTCCTCTCTTTTAGGTAACTTGCCTTTCAGATGTTTCGTCTTCCTTTGGAGTTTGACAAATTCTATCCGCTTCTCATTTCTCAAAGTGTGCCTTTCCACTTTTATCAGGTTTTAAAAGCTTTTAGATCCGCCCGTTCACATTTCAACGATTCATTGCAGACGTTTAAATTTACGGCCAGAAACACTTATCCCTCGATTTTCCTTTACTTCATCGGATCTTTCTTTTTCTTTTGTCTTTCGTCATCGCTTTCTTTCTTTTGGAATTCTTCTTTCTTTCTTTCTTTCTTTCTTTCTTTCTTTCTCGTAGTCATTTGTTATAACCGTTTTATTTTTTCTTTCCTATCTTTGTTTCTTTGTTTCTTTCTTTGTTTCTTTGTTTCTTTCTTTCATTCTTTCTTTCTCGTAGTCATTTGTTGTAACCGTTTTATTTTTTCTTTCCTATCATTGTTTGTTTCTTTGTTTCTTACTTTCTTTTATTACCGTTTTCATTCTTTATTTATTCGTCTATCTATCTATCTATCTATCTATCTATCTATCTATCTATCTATCTATCTATCTATCTATCTATCTATCTATCTGCGTGAGTTTGTGTGTGTGTGTGTGTTTGTCCAGTTATAGAGTGTGTTTTTGCCTCAGTGATGCTAGCAATAATATCCAAAAAATTTTATTGATAGATATAGAATTTACACAAAGAAAGTAATCTAAAAACACGCACCTGTACACACACACCTGTACACACACACCTGAACACACACACCTGAACACACACACACACACACACACACACACACACACACACACACACATATATATATATATATATATATATAGATAGATAGATAGATAGATAGATAGATACACACATACATACATACGTACATACATACATACATACATATATAACGTGTGTATTCGAAGTTTGCCCGAAAAATGTAATCATTTAATATCAATGAATATGTGGCCGAGTTAGGATTATGGTGCCGTAGTCTCCTTCAAACTTTATCATACATAATTGTCAAAGTGTTCCTTAGACTTTTCCAAACAGTCTAAAATGTCCTCTTTCGCTATTATCATCAACTGTAGAGTCGCGTTGTCATTATCCTTATCCCTGTTCTATGCATTTCAGCGACGATTTTAGCAAATTAGATCTGCATGTCTTTTATATAACTTAATAAAAATATATATGTATATCTACGCATTTGAAAAGTTTTATGCGTTTTCCTCATTACAAATTTAGAACGAAAGTTTCTATTATTTTTTTTATTGGATCGAAGGGGTTTAAAAACGAATCCTTTTTTTTTAAAAGATACAATAATACATTTCTTTTGGAATCGGCTGGGTTAATGTATACGTATATGGGTCGCTGTTTCTGAGTACATTTTAATTATAAAGATTTAAAGCCAGAATGTGACTACCATCTCAATCCAATGTATAAGGACACCTGGGAAAAACTAAACTAGTAAAAAATAAAAAAATAAAATAAAAAATGAGTCGAAAAACTTAAAGGAAAAACAACAAAATATAAAATCCCAAATAAAATAAAAAAAAAATCATCAAAAAGCAAAGCAGTTGTCAAAATAAAACAAACGGAAATTATTCAAATAAAAAAAATAATCAATAAAGATTGAAAAGAGAAAAACCGAAATAGCACAATAATGAACAATTAAAATAAAATGAAACATGGAAACACACACAGACGCACACACACTTAGACGTACACATATATCAACAAACAACCCCCCCGAAAACATTGTGTATTTTTTAAGTGAATCATAACGAGATATAAACACGGCGGCAACAACATTTTCGACCATACTGACATTTACAAGGATTGAAACATTTGTTCTTGGGTTTTGAATATTATTTCCTTGAGTTGGCAAAAAAGAAAAACAAAACAAAACACACACACACACACACAAACGCACACAAGAAAGCAAGAATGACGATTTTATTTGCTTTTTTTTTTCTAGAATGCAGTTTGAAGAAGACTACATTGATGTGTCATACATAAAAATGTCAAGAAGATTTTCCCGGATGGGTCATTGCATAAGTAAAATACTTCGAAAGTTCTCCGATCAGAAGTCGGTATTCAGAAGATGGCGACAACAATGATGACAACTGACAAATAAAAAAAATAAAGAATAATAAAAAACAAACAATAAAGTAATAATAATAATCGAAAGGTTAAAAAGTCAACATCAGTTGGAATGGTTTTCTCTATCGTTAGAAGTTGTTTTATATTTGTTCAAAATGTCTGAATATTAAACTCTGGTGAAAAGAGAGAAACGCAAAAGGGGTTGATAGAAACACAAACGAAGAGAAAAAAAGAGCGAAAGAGAAGGAGAGGGATTGTGAGATAAGGGAAAATCGGATAATGAAATAAAGTCGCGTATGAAAGGGAAACATTAGAAGCGATAATAAAAGTGAGAAAAAAGAAGAGGACAAGAGGTTGTAAGAAGGAGGAGGAGGAGGAGGAGGAGGAGGAGGAAAATAATTATCACACACTTAAAGATTAGACATTTGGATTTTCTGTGCAAGATGGACTTATTAAATATCATTTAATTACGAAAAAGTAACAATAATTCAGCAAGAAATAAAGATTTAAAATAATGTAAAGCTGTTCATATCTATCTGTCTATTCACACCTGTCTATTAGAAAAATTCAAGAACAATTTTAGGGAAATCTATGATAAACTGAAAAAGTTTACGCGTGAAACGTTTCGTCCTTTAGGACTTCATCAGACTAAATGATTGATGCAGATATACTACATTCGGAAGCAAGGCCTCTAATCAGGAGATTGGAAGTTTTTGAGGAGCGTGGAACTACGTTTTTTCCCCAGGTCCACCCTGTACCGGAGTAGCACCTCATGTTAGTGTCACAGCTATGGGCAAACAGTGAACACCCAAACAAAACAAAACAATATCTATAAAAATACATATTTATAGTAAAATTACCAACATTACCTTTTTATAGTAAAATGACAAGCAATACATTTTATGGTAAAATTACCAACAATACATTTTATCTGTCTGAGAGTATCCTTTAAATCTATAAATCAATCATCTGTCATTACATGGAATATTGCTGTCATATATGATCTGACCCCGCCCCTGTAAGTCTCGAGGTCTTCGACAAAATCCAGAAACGGATATGCAGTGTGATAGGTCCTGATCTGGGATCTAGTTTACAGTCGCTTTCTCAAAGACATGCTGTGGCTTACCCTGTCTTTTCTATAAGTATTTTCTCATAACCATTCCAACGAGTTTCTTTCTCTAGTTCCCAGACTGCATGAATTTAAGCGAGCTACTAGGCTGGCATCTCGGTCCCACCCTTTCATTGTCGAAACGGTTAAATTTAACATTCTCTTCTTCTCAAATAGCTTCTTCTCTTGCACTTCTCGTCTGTGGAATCCTCTTCCTCATAGTTGATTCCCTGATAACTATAATCCTCAAATATTTAAGTGTAATGTCAATCGACACCTTCTGATACCTTGATCTTGTTCCCCGTCTTTCTGTTCTCTTTATCCTCTCGCCAAACATGACTCTTTACTCTTGTTCTTTACCCTCTGTAACCTTTGTGTGTTAGTGGCACTCACGCCTTGCTTGGGGTGAAATGCTTAAAAGAAATTGAAGGCATACAAATGCGTTCAAAATGTATTTAGTTCAAGCCAGAAAAGTGTGTTAAATGTATTTAGATTTTGGCATTAAATAACCCATACAGATTGGTATGCTGCGAAACAAAATAAACCAACCAAACAAGCAGCATAAAAGAACTCTTTCATGACATTAATCCATATAATATTCTACAATTTTTGAAAGAAATCAAACTGTATTCTAAAATATAACTACAGCGTAAAACACACATATAATCGCCTCCCTAACAATTATGTCCACGCAAACATGTATATACACAGAAGCTGAGTATCATCTACTATGTCTTCAGTTGTGAAAGCAGAATAACATATTTTTATTACTTCAAAGCTCCCAAGAAACTTAAATTTCGACATTAAATGACCCATAAACAGTTGATATGCTGTTAAACATACAAAGAGACGTTGATATGACTACACATGCGCACTCAATGCATTAGTTGCTCACGGTAATGAGGCTGGCCATAATTTTGATTTAAAAAATCCTACTCTAATTAAAAGAGAAAGCACTAAGATGAAAACATATAAAAAGTGCTTTAATGGTGAGATCATCCAGAGTAAATTTACGTTTAAGTTCTTAAAACATTTAACCTATATTTGCAGATTTATTATTATCACAATATGTGATATTTAATAATAAAAGTCATAAATGTATGTATGTATGTATGTATGTATGTATCTATCTATCTATCTATCTATCTATCTATCTATCTATCTATCTACGTACGTTTGTTCTTTATCTATCTATCTATCTATCTATCTATCTATTTATCTATCTATCTATTATCTTTCATTATCTATCTATCTTTGTTCTTTATCTATCTATCTATCTATCTATCTATCTATCTATCTATCTACGTACGTTTGTTCTTTATCTATCTATCTATCTATCTATCTATCTATCTATCTATCTATCTATCTATCTATCTATCTATCTACGTACGTTTGTTCTCTATCTATCTATCTATCTATCTATCTATCTATCTATCTATCTATCTATCTATCTATCTATCTATCGTTTGTTCTCTATCTATCTATCTATCTATCTATCTATCTATCTATCTATCTACGTACGTTTATTCTCTATCTATCTATCTATCTATCTATCTATCTATCGTATCTTTATCTATCTATCTATCTACGTATTTGTTCTTTATCTATCTATCTATCTATCTATCTATCTATCTATCTATCTATCTATCAATTTCATCATGTTAATAATGATATAGATAATGTTAATGCCTATTTCTGTCTTCGATCAAACTTCATATATACTTCGACCGTTGCTATTTATGCATTTTGTAAAACAAATGGCCGGTCTCTATATCGACGGTTAGAAATACGAGATTTATCCATCCATTTAATACTAGCAAAAAAATGGCTTACCTAGAGCAATGGCATCTCCGTCTTCTTCAGAGGATTCCCGTTGGGGCCTCACACATTTATATCAATGTCCCTCCTATTTTTTAAAAGAGACTGCAAAATCTTTGTATGGGGCAATCACCAGGTATCTCGTTTTATTCAACAGCAAATTTAGCTTAGATAAATGCTGGAATTTGAAGATACGAGTCCATGCTTAAAGCCTTTGTTGACGCCATAAAAGAAAGAAAAAAAAATTACCGGATTGTTAAGCACCGTGGAAACATTTAATACTGATCAATACCTTCAGAACAGTTAAAAAAATCTTCAGATTTTTTAATCAGCTTGGATCGTTTGGTAGATCGTGTTCGTGGGTTACGGTTCTTGAAGAACTTTCCGAACGTGGATTGCTTTCAATGAATTTCTAGCCAATTCTAAATCGTCAGTATGTAGAGATTTTCTAAGCGTAGCTTAGATGAGGCACAAGGCCAGAAGTACGGGCACTCAGCGAGGATCGAACTCACTACTCAGTCGTAAACGTTAAAGTAAGAGAAGCTTGTTAACCATTACACCACCTCGAGGTGCCCTTATTTTTTCCAAGCGTAGCTTAGATGTGGCACACGGACGAAAGTATGAAGCACCCAGTGAGGATTGAACTCACTATCCAATTGTTCTATCTTGCTAACCATTACACCGCCTCGAGGTGTTCATAGGGATTTTCCAAGTGTAGCTTAGATGTGGCACAAGGCCGAAAGTATGGGGCACCCAGTGAGGATCGAACTCACTACTCAGTCGTAATTGTTTTAGCGAGGCACGCTTGCTAACGATTACACCGCCTCGAGGTGCCCTAAGCCATCAGTATGTATGTACGTTTAAATATAAAATATACAGCCTCACCAAATTAGCGAGAACTGATGGGTTTTCCTTATCAGTTACATTTTTAATGGGCGTATTTACTACCCAGCCGATTTTGAAGTCAGAGTTGGTTTTCTTGACTGTTTGCCAATCAACAGTAGAGAACCCAGTCTGTTTTGCTATTAACGCCTAGACGAAGTGATGAAGAGATGGATTAATATATTTCCAAAGTTATTTGTGTGAAAGCGAACGGAACGTCCTTGAAAACTTCCTTCAGGCTGAGATTTATTGATTTGGTTTTTTTTTTACGGTTTATCAACCTTTTGTGAGTTATTCAAAGCCGAAACATATTTTGGATTTTAAGAATAATTATTTGTTTTTGCAAAGGAATACAGCCTTCAGAATTCTTTGAGAATAGGAAGTCTTAATATTTAATTCATAGTCTGGAGTGAGAATGAATTAATATCATTCCCAACGGTGTTAGCGAGTTTCTGAGCCGATAACCGCTAAGCTACACGCACATTGTATAAACCACAGATAGCAACGTCTTACCTGAGCTTCAATCATTGAATCATCCTTCAAAGCCTATTTAATTATTCAAGCATTTTTTTTTTATGGATGACTGCTCAAATTTCAAGAAAAAACATATAAGCCGTGGAAGCGACAGACACATAATACACAAAGAATCTCACTTCATGGGGTCTAACTGCTGACCGAATAATCCTAAACGATGCTATCTGGCGTATTCATGCTTGCGCAGTAAGGTCCCTTCTGATTGACTACCAAGTTACCGCGCAACCGGTTCTCGAGTTCATTCAAAATGATTGAGTACTTTTTGGACAGATGGAGCTTACATTTGACCAACAAAGATGGAGCTTACAATTGACCAGTGATCATGGACAGTCCTTGAAAGTTAATAAATGCCACGGAGATGAAATAGTGATGAAGAGAATCGATTGTTTGACTGTTATTAGAAGAGTGATTTTGTCGTCTGCCTCAGTTACTTTCATATCTTTATGAGAAAGTAGGACTCTTTTCTGCTCTACCAACTGCTATTATCTTTCTGCTTAGAACTCCTCACGAGATTCTTACAGAAAAAAACACGCGGTAGATAGGATTGAATATATGCCTTATGACTGAGACTGTTGCGTATTTTAATAACGCTCCTAGATTCAGCCTGTCAGTAATATGTTTGTTATACAATTGTTTATCAAGTACGATGCCCAAAAGACATTTGTGGAACGGTTCACTAAATGACGTTGTTCCAGCCTTTTTCTTTTTACCTCATAGACTACTTTGAACCCAGAATGTTTTGTAGCCCACAAAATTATTATAGCGTAAAAAATTACTTCCCCTTGTGGCCCATACGCTGGGGTGTATATATTAGACTGGTGGCCCTTGGGCACCTCGAGGTGGTGTAATGGTTAGCAAGCTTATCTCGCTAGAACAATTACGGCTGAGTAGTGAGTTCGATTCTCACTGGGTGCCTCCTAATTTCGGCCTTGTGCCACATCTAAGCTATGCTTGGAAAATCACATTAGACTGGTGGCCCAGTAAAAATTATAAAATTTTTGTAGCCACCTGAAATTTGCCATAGCCCATAAGTTGGGAAATACTATATTATAAAGATATGTAGGATAGATAACGGTGGATCCTCTATTTGAAGAGGTTTGTAGTGATTGGGAAAGCATTCTCTCAGAAGTCTGCTTCACAATGCAAGAGTTCTAGAGATGAAACTGAGTGAAAACTCCCCCTTACTAATGGAAAATGAAGGGAGTGAAAAATGAGTTGAAATTATACGTAGCTTGGTGGGTCCTAGCTGTAAACGTATGGATTGGTGAAACAAAGGAAAGTAGTTTATCCCAACGTTTATCATGGAAATAGCAGTAGGGTAGAGAGAGGCTAACAATAAACTGGTGGTGCTACAATTACTGCGTAGGGTAATTTCTGTAAGCATTAGCAAAACCAAAATTGAAATGGGGGTTTATCTTACCAATTGTAACATTTCTGATATTTAGTTCTAGATTTTTTGCATCCCTTAGTGTTTGCCATGTTTTCTAGTGGTGATACCTTCTTCGAGTAAAATCACACTGGTTTCTAGGAACTCCACTAATTCCCTACGCTCGTCACTGAACTTGTTTAAGATGTGTTGAAAACCTCAGTAAATTCCCAACAAATACAAGTAAGTTATGAAGAGCCCAGGAACTTTTCTGGATGAAAGAACCTATGTAACAACACCAAGAACTCCGAGATAATCCCAGAATAGAAGATTAAACACTAAAAGGTTTTGAAACTTCAAGTTAGATACTTCCTCTATAAGTTTCTGGGATTAGCATTATTTACATGCGGACTATTCTCCTAATCTTTGTTGTTATTATTGCAACACTTCGGTCATTGTGCTCTCCGGCATTCATCAGGTGCTTGTCGAACCGGAAAACCATCAGAGAATTTTCTAACTGAACCCTTTATTTAATCTCGTCTCGTTTAACATGTCTAGTTCTTATTTAATACTACTGAGTTATTTGTGGCCTCGTTTCCAGTGAGTCCAAGTATACGCTGTCCTTCCTGGATGGGTCACTACATCTGAAAGTTCCCTGACCAGAGGCGACATACAGAAGATGATGACGACAACTGACAATTAAAAAAATGAGCTCACAATCACTATGTAATCAAATTCACACAGCAATACCTTAATCTTTTTTCAAGACAATTCTATGTGGAGTGCCTGATAATGGCTGCTGCTGTTGTTACTGCTATCTGTCGAGCTTGATTGCACTGACTGAGACTTCTCCTTTCTCATGATGCTGCTTAAAGGCATTGCTGTCAGTTCTATCTCTTTCATTATTAACAGCTCTCATATTTTGTAGATGTATATGCAAAAAATAACCACTGATACTTACAATCGATAGAGGACTAAGAAATTTAAAGAAGAGATCGGTACATGTTAAAAGTTCATATAAATGCATAGGCATTAAAATTTAATCTTTAGACGAGATATAGAAAATGATTTAGAAATTAATTTCTCAGACGATATATTCATATGTATATTCCTTGTACATTTATTTATGGTTTTACAAATGCTCAGTATTGGAGTTTTAGAAAAGAATTGGCCATCTTATATATAAGTTTCAAGTCATTATTTTAAGAGAAAATTCAAGTAGCCATAAACAATAAATGCCAGAATATAAACCCTGAAAACGTGGGTGTTTTGTTTTCAAGGACTCAAATCAAGGACTCAAATCCAATGGAAAAAGCGATTTAAAGAACAGAAACAAGACGCGTAGAAACCGTTATACAGACATTTGATGTGTGGGTGTGTTTTTTTTTTATTTGAGGAAAGAAAAGTAAAGAGAATAACTGGATAGGACAACGAAAAAGTACTGTTGACTCTGTGTATGTTCACTTGAAACAAACACAATATATCGACTTTTTATTGTTGACCATTGTGGCTCAAGAAGTTTTCTGAAAATAATAGAGATATTTTGTTAATGGTTTTCATTATTATTGATTCTAAAATACAGATTTTCTCCAAAATGAACAAAAAAAACAAAAAAACAAAAAAACGAAAATATTGTAGACATGAAAAAAGCAAATAGTCTAATAAAAAAACTATATTCATTCATATTTATTTAAATTTTTCATTGTAGCTCGTAAAGAAAATGAAGTATGTCCGAATTAAAACCTTTTCACTTAATCTTTCTGCTTCGAAAAGCGATTTATGACATTTTTCTGTATCCCAGAAGAACGGGAACAATTCAAAGATTTGTTTTTTTTTTTCTGAAAGAATAGACATCGATCATTTTAATAACAATATAATCCAGAAACAGTTAAGAAAAAGTGGAAATGCGATCAAAACTTAACAAAAACGAATAGATGTTCTAAGAAACGCAATGAAAATAACTTTGGATCATGTCGGCGGTTGACAGCCTCGGTCATCATCAATGAGTGATAACCCGTTATGGTTGACACATCCGTTTATGAATTCCCATCAATTCTGGG